ACCCATCCCGATGGCCCGGTTGCTATCAGCAGGAAAGGTCATTACCTGCAGAACAACGTGCCGTCTAAGCTGGTGAAGATCATGGCGGCTTTTTACTCTCCGAGGGAGTCCAAACCCCGCGTGCCAGCGTTGTAGGATGCTGCCCACCTCCTGCAGCTCGCAAAGCGCGACAGCCGAGCCGGGAACGGGTGGGTCGTCGACACAATCGCCACTACAAAGTCAGTAACGAGGCGGCACACCGACGGGAAAGGTTTGCAAGACCTGCTAGTGACTGGACCCAAGCTCGGTGAAAAGGTCCGGATGCCCGAGCTGTGGTCAGACACGAGGTTTGCCGCACGCACCGCAAACGTTATCGAATTGTTCCAGCTGAACGAGCCAACCATGTGCCATCTCCTATGGGCTCGTGTCCTGGATGGCAATGCCGACAAAGAGATTGGAAAATACTTCCAAAAGTTGAAAGGTGCGTTCCAAATAAGTTTGAGATGTAGATGAATACTTGCGATCCATTTGCCAAATACGCAGCTCTCGCACTGTCTTTGAAGATAAGTTGTCAAAACACTTCCTCCAGTGATTAAGATATATTCTGCATTTTTCAATACTACATAATTTTGTTACGCTTTCAGGAGCATGATCAAAATTGTGACATTGGTTTGAATACGGCTCACGCTATTCGCTCATACTTTGTTATATGTGTTGCTTATCGTGGCTTTCAAACAATACAAGCTGCATCAGATTACGATTTTTTCCTACAGCCGAATTTATAGACTAGCGATTGGAATGAACTGCCTATTTCACAATCATTGGATTTTTGTGTATTTTCCCAAGGGTTGCAGTCGTTGCAATACTTATTGCTACACTGTGTGGTCCAAATGCAATGTTTACCCTAGACAAGCGATTTAGTGAGTGCACTGCAGCGCTTCGTGACGCGTACGAGGTGCTGGCTGAGTGCAGCAAGGAGCAGCAAGATCTGCAACGGCTGTCATATGAGCGCTACAGGTCCTACAGCGCCATGGTTGAGAAACTTGACGACATGGCAGACCCCATCAAAAATGGCCTGGACCCAGACGACGAGCTCTGACCCACCCTTGCGCTGCATCATGGAAACATCGCAGAAGAAGTTGGTGATCCCTCACAAAATTTGTTTGATGGGTGATTAATTATGTCCCGCGTTTGCTTGTCATTATAGACCCGGCATTCAAAGTTCGTTGGTTGCCGTTCTATCATTTCACCATACATTAATTTGCATCCCTCATGTATCAAGTGTTTCTGTCATCTTGACGTTACCGTCATCGTCACGTCACGTTACCGTTACTGTCATAATACGTATACAGTGGTTCTTCCGTCTCACCACTTACTCAACCCTGTGCAAAATGTGTTTATCAGCTCCCCAACCCGTGTGGACGGCGCTGTCAGTGAGGTGCGTGCAATTATGAGAAAGATAAGATAGTAGTTATAGCATATTACTTGACAGTAGCATATTGTTTTCCTGATACACCAAGTGGCTGTGTCGTGATTACATGCACAAAGTTATTTGGTGAAAGAGATGCGTGTGATCGAGCGGGCGTTTCACGGGTGTGCTATGAAATAATTATGTGGTGCATATTTTGCCAGGCTGGACTTAGCCGGGTCTCTTTGTGTGGCTTCTTCACAAAGCTGGTCGCGCGGGGATGCCGCGTAAATACCCAGGGTCGGAACCTCGGCTGTTCGAACCGGAAGCTGAATGGGGCCATGGACAGCGTGAAATGAGTCGGCGGTCTCTGCAAGCTGAGAGGTCCGAACCACGAGAACAGCGTCACCTTAGTGACGTCGGCAGTGGACGAGCTGGTCAGACTGCAGCTGATCCCGCCTGCTGCCGCCGTCACAAAGGAGAACGTTATCGCAGCGTGGCGGTGTGTTCGGGCTACCCCAGGACGACAATCGGGGCCTTTACAAGGTACTGTCCGTGGAGGCCCGCACATACCCAGTGGTTGTCGCGTATGTCGCGCTGGTTACGAGGCTCTGGCTTATTTGCCCTGCGGAGTCCGTCATTGAAAGTATGGCGATTGCAATAAGGGATGTTTTGGAGATCTCCGCCAGTTAAAACACGATGGTGTGACCAGAGAACTGATCATTCGGTGGAATGGTCCTGAACCGGAACGGGCTGACCTTCTAGTAGACTCGGTACAGAGAAGGCAGCCGTACCGTTTTGAGCAGTGCAGCGAGAGGGGCATCTCGACGTTCGTGGAAGGGACAGCCATGCAGCGGCTTGTGAAAGAAATATGCCGTCGTGTGTCAGCGTTTTGCGTTGAGTGAGTCGATTTGAGTGTCGTGGGCACATGTCTACGTTCATTTGGGCCATGGCTGTGGGTGCCACCGTAGCGTACCCAGTGTGACCAGTTGTGTTACCGGTGATAATGTGCTGTAATACATGCCGTGCCTGATGGCACTCAGATGACATCACATGTTTTGGGTGCTGTCCATCTGTAATGTTCTGGGTAGATCGAGCCGGAGGATTCATTTTGAAATGAACGCATGAAATGCTCCGCATCTCCCTAACTCAGTGTCCAGCCCTACACTTTTATTCTACATTACGCTACATGGCCCGATGTGTAATGGAATGACATTGCAGCTCTACCGACCATATTTTTCCTTATTTTTTATCTTTTTATCTCCAAGGTATCCTTATGTTGAGGAACAAGCAATGTATTGTTTGCTTAGTTTGACGTCTTCAGTCCTTCATGTAAAGGAAAGGAAACAGTGCGTGTTTGCAGAGGTGCAGAGGTTGTTCGGTATCACAGCTTGGACTTTAACGTGGGGTGCAGTTGGTGCAGTTGGTTGGAGGGGGGGGGGGGGGGGGAGGGGGTGAAGGCGCCGCGTGATCCTACTGTCGGCGTGCCCGAAAACCCAAACTTCCACCACCGGCAGGGGCACGCTAAAGCGTGCAGACCTATCGCGCTATTGAGAATCCTTTTACCGTCCGTGATGGCAAATATTGCTGCATAGTGGAGTTGCATGACGCGCGGTGCGAAAAACCAACGTGGGTGTTCGTCGGAATAGATCGATATCTAGGTGCTGGGTAACAATAAATTGTTTCTGGCTCGGGGTAGGTAGCACACCAGCTTCTTGACCTCTGCGCACAACATTGATTGAGAGTCAATTGACGGCCGCTTTATCTGACAATCGTGCTCACGAACGCCGATCATGAACGATTCAATAATCGTATTTTGTTGGCCTGATTCGCTGCACGGCTAATGCAATCGCAGGATTTAAATGACGTTATGGCGTCATAGATGACTGAGTGACCTTGAAATAGTCTCCAGAAAAAGTCTGCGCATCTTCGCAGGCGTGTAGCTCAGAAAGTGGAGTTCAGTTCAAACTTCATACAAGTGTCGAATGCTCCCTTTCACACAATCCTGGGTATCCCAAATTTTGGCACTACTGAGCTTAGGTGCAGGGAAATCCACTCTCTAAATTTGTTATCTCTAGCTCCCTTATTTTTTGAGATCTCAATGTTGGGATCTAAATTCTCCCTTCGCCCGGGCAAATGGTATTCAACCGACTTCTCGGGCGCGTGTTAATACTCGGCACCGTCCCTTTTCCTCGTTGATCATAGGTTTGCTCGGTTAGCTGCTGCGTAATTCCGTTACGTAACGGAACTTTTCGTAACAGAGCTGCAGAATCAAAATTTTTGAAAATTTGAAGTGATTATGCCTCCTTGAAAGCCTTTTTCAAAACCACACTCCCCTTTGAACCCTACGTATTTCCCGTGGGAGTTGGGATGGGGATGGAACGAGGAGGGGCTAGCCCAGATGGGAACACCTGAGTCACACTTTAACAACCACCTCACAGTGGTTGCATGCCATTTGGTTGCAACACTGCTCCTGTGTTATAATAAATGACATTAAAATTAGCCGTTTTGCAGAGTTCAGTAACGACTTCCTTGCGTGACAATGACCTGAGAGCAAACATCATCCTGCTTGCCAGCCGCGCCACACCCGCCGCCGCTGCTGACGCCGCCGCCGCCTGCTCCGCCTTGTGAATATGGGCGTTTGAATCTGAGCACGTGGGCAAGAACTTAGCAGAAGAAGAACTCTACGCTTTTGAATGCATACAAATAATCTTCCAACCACTATATGAGACACCTGTTCAGGAAGGTCTGGTGATATTTATATTGTGTTTCTTTACCCAAGTGTCCTATCTTTTCGCCAAAGCGTCCTACAATGAAGTCAGCGAATACATGGGACTTAAAAACACCGCCTACAATGTAATGACAAAACGGATTTAAGAACATTCCTCTGCATGCTTTGTAGAGTAACAGTAACGAGTACCTTTTCTGAAGAAAGGGAATAACGAGTAACGGCACTGTCTTCTTTTTTTTAGTACCGGGCTTGCCTATGACTCTGGCATTACCCGCCTTTTACCTCGGCTACTGGCACCGTTCGCGGGCCAATCCCAGTCGGGGACAAATGACGAGCGCTTAAAGTGACTCAGACTCAACTCGCCTTAGATGGGGAAATCAGAAGGTAGGTGCACCAACGCTACTGTTGGGGCGGATAAATATGCCAGTTGTATCAAGGACTGTCAACCGGTGGTGCGAGGGATTCGTGGTGTGTGCTATGGCGTGGTATTCTCTCCGAGCGCACCCCGAAAGCCTTCATGGATTTCGTAAGCCCCCCTGGCATTACGAGCGCGGCTCAGAAATGGTTTTCATTTATGGCTTTATAGGGGGTTTAGTTTTGGGAACTTGCACGTGTTTTTTAACGATATTTGGGGCAAACCTTACCATATTTTCTTGTCTTGATTTTTTTCCGCGTTAAAAGGAAACTAACGCAGTCAGCAGCGTATAAGCCTATTCTGATGAGTTGAGGGCGTGTGGTCTTACAGGGGGGTGGGTGGGGGCATTTTGAATGCTTTCATACGTATTCGTACTAAATATCCGGGCTCAAACACAAATTGTGTGGCTCTGAGCAAAACTTGTTTGAAATTAGAAATACCTAGGACTGTGGGAGAAGTGCATAAACATGAAAAGGACAGACACTCTGAACAATGACCTGGAGGACTATTTTCGAATCCACTTTGAGAACAAAATCGCCATCCGGCCACGACGAGAGGATTGCGTCCTTGCGGCCTCTACCAGGCTGCTGGCCAAGAAACACGAGCTGGAGCAAGTGAGCAAGGAAGTGGAACAGTGTCAGACCTGGTACAACGGGCGAATGAAAGAAATTACAGCACAGAAGAAAGAAATTGAAGAACGAGAACGGGGCCTAAAGAATCAGTTGATTAGATTCGAAAAGTTTATCTACGAAAACGACTCAAAGCGACATAGGGGATTGACCAAGATCAAGGAAGAACTGCAACATCAAGCGGCAAAAGATAGTGAACTTGCCAAATTGAACGATGAGTTTCAGCACCTTGAGCACGTAAAAAGTCAAATTCAGAGTGGGGTGGATCGGAATAAAGCTTTTCGCGAATTCCTCCTGAAAGTCACTGAGTATTCCGATGACTATGAGGAGATCAACGACATTCTGAGCCGGTGCGAGTTGCTGTGGGCGACCAAGCAGTACTTGGACAAGCGCGGGCAAAAGGACACCAATGCTGTGAAGGACCAGCTATCCAACATGATCCAGTACACGGAGAATCGCAATACAGAAACCCTGCGCCTCAATAACCTGATGTCAGAACTGCAGACGCACTACGACCAGGCGCAGAGGGATGTCATTAACTCGGAGAGCAACTGGACACGTATCAAGAACACGGCCGCCAAGAAAACACTGTTGCTGGGCCAGATCAAGATGGCCATCCACAACCTGTACCAGTTGTGCAACCGGTACCATCAGGCGCGCGTTCTGGACCAGGAGGAGATAGTCATCTACAAGGAGTCGTCCGACCAGCTGCGTATGATCCGGGAGATCATGCAGGACATAGTGGCCGTGTACCGAGAGTGCATGCACGGCACAAAACATGCACCGGTGTACTGATCAAACGTCCCCTCAATGGGACATGTCCTAGCTTCATTTGTGAAAATCTGGTACATGGCTCTTTCCGACTAAGAGCAATCACTTTTACTCAAGTGTTTTTCGACTCGTCACCTTGGCGACCGCACCGGGTGCCTTCGACACGTCATTAACGTTCCTGTCTTTATGGACCGATCATTTAGCTTTGTCAGGCTTCCTGCTCCATATGAAGCTAAAACTAATGTTTTATTTTCGCTTGATCTGTGGTAGTGATGAGTTCGCCAGGACATCGATAAGCTATACCAGCCACGGGAGTACTTCTGTCTCAGGTACCATAACCCCTTCATTCGGCGTCGAACTGCAAGAAAGCCAAAGCGAATGGGCGACCTGTAGCCTGAGAAAATAACAAGATTTGATGCGTGAATGCATAAGAAGTGGGCAACACACCAAGACAAGTCAATAGCATGTGATCAGCCGGTGAAATTTTCGTTGACGTATCATGTATGGCAGGATTGACGATTTCTGTACCTGATTGTGGGCGGGGACGGGATCAGCTGACTGTCGGACGCCCTGACCTCCCCCATTACTATAAACGGATTTATACCACTTTGTTTTGATGAAATGCCATTTATATTTTTCGGCTCATATTGTGCATCTCATGATACTTAATTTAAGTATCATAGTAGTCACGCAGTGGCGGATGCAAAAAGTGGAAGGCACTAAAGGCACCTGCCACTGCTGATCAAAAAGAAAAGGCGTCCTTCTAGACCCGACCTTCGGGAGCCCAATGCGTTCAATTATGGCAGCCTTGGGCGGCAGCCCGTACGCTTGGTGTGGGAGCAGAGACGGGTTTAGTCAATGTCAACCCTGAAATTCCAGAGCTTTTCAGTCGGACTTCCCAAAATTATGCGTGTCTAGGCCCTACGAGTGTTACGTTGTCTGCTTTACTAATCCGTTCAGCTATTGCGATTTTTAGCAGTTTTTTCAGCAAGGAAACACGACTTATTATTATTCTGGAAAAAAGTTATCAGGGGTTCATAGGTGTCCTGCTGTAGACGACAAACAAAGGCTTGTGTGGGTTCGTACACGTCCCGTTGCATTAACAGATCGCCCTACCGTGTTTAGTGGCCAAGCCATTCGGTTAGATTTCACAACTTACCCCGACTTTATATTTGACCTTGGATTTAGGCCATAGTACCAACGTATAACATATATATATATATATATATATATATATATATATATATATATTATATATATATATATATATATATATATGAATGTGCATGCGTGCGTGCGTGCATGCGCGTGTGTGTGTGTGTGTGTGTGTGTGTGTGTGTGTGTGTGTGTGTGTGTGTGTGTGTGTGTGTGTGTGTGTGTGTGTGTGCGTACCGGGTGCGGATTTGTGTAAATGCAATATATTCAAAGCTAATTTCTTGAGGATGGCAGCTGAATGGCACTCCAAACCGATAAATGGACGTAAAGGAGTTGACACGCACCCGTATAGTCGCGTTAAAAAATGAGGTCCATATGTCAAAACCTCCGGGTCAAATAAGATCAAACAAGGGCAAACTCAAGATTGGTGACCAAAGTGCCCATAGAGCTCCTCTTGCAGCTTCCTTCGACTGAGACACCTTGGCAAAAGGTCACTGGTGTCCATTTTACGTCAGGGATCTTATATGAACTTTGAAAGGCTTTGGTGACCCAAAAAACCCACGAGATTGTTTCGAGTTTTGAATTTAAACAAGTTTCGGATTACGCTAGGAGGTACGTTTCTGAAAAAAAACAACGGGTTGATATGGCCGTGGTAGGTTAGTGATCTAGTCTTGTTTTTAAGAAGCCCATGGAAGATGTTCTGTGCGGCACGTGTTTCCCGAAATTCGAAGTGAACATCAGAAACTACCTCACAAACCAGACTTTCCAGTCAAAAAGCGGGCTCTTTATCTCGGTCTGACCTTCGTACCTAACACAAGGTCAATTTATGTTGTTAAACTTTTACATCCAGCTGTTTTATTGTCTAAGAAATTATCTCAGAGATGTATTGCTTTGATTGACACTCCGCTGTCCAATCAGATTAAACGATTTCCTAGAAAGTCCCTTCACTGACAGCCACGGTCTGAGTTTGAGGTGTTTTGGTCAATTACTTTAAAATATGCATATCATGTTTTGTAACAAACGATCTGCTGTTAACTGCCCACAGATATGCCAGATTCTGCACGGCTGCGCCTCGCCGCTTGAAATCATTCTGTAAATACCGTTGTGGAAAATTGATCCTCACCTGAGTGGGTGTTAAATATTGTAATCAGAGGATTAAGCCTATATGCAATGGGTAGAGGACGGGTCAGGGTATTGTTGCGCAAGCAGAGAGCGGACATGGAAAGAAAGATTAATCCCTCAGGGCTGCACAAGGTTCTGCAAGGTTTTTGGCGTAACGCGCGCACATAAGAACTTCTAAAAGTTCTCCGCCGGACGGAAAGACAAAACTTGCCCTCTCTATCTTCTGAAAAGCCATGGAAAAACAAAACTTTCATAGAACATATCTTCTTTCAGTGTAGGTTAAATGATGTCGAGTGTGCTAAGGTCAGTCAATTTTTTCATCGTTTGAGCGATTGAATGGACGATGTCTGCTGTCTGCTCGTTGGTTAAGCGCAAGCATAGAGGGGACAATCTCGAGAGACTAGCACCGCGAAGGCGTTTACTCTTTCCTCCTCACTAGGGGCTGTCCATGAATTACGTTGCTCTTTATTGGCCATTTTCAACCCCATTCTCCCTGGTTACGCACGGATCACCCTGGGCGCTCTTCCCCCTCGCCCTGGGTATGCGGTGTTCAGCGTAACGTCCCAAACATGGGATATCCGTTTGGCGGCTTATTGAATTTCGGGCGCGAAGCATAGACGAATGTGTGGCTTGTCGTAAGGGTGGGTCAACGATATGGGTTTTGAGTTGCTAAACATTTTGAGAGACTTACACATTTGTTACAACGACAACAGCAGGGTTCCTGGTCCCTGAAATGGACATCTGCACTGTCCATTAGTTATAAGAGTTAGAACCAGTGTGTGTGCTAGGGGGGGGGGGGGGGAGCTCGACTCCTCTATACACGCAGATACCGATGCTCATGCCGGCTTGGATCATTATTGGCTGGGTTGGGTTTAATGCCGTGTATGGCTTTAATATTCCATGATCACTGCGCCCAGAAACTGTTCGAACCACCAGCTGGCTCATCAATGACATCGACATGGATCGCACGCAGCCATCAGGCATCACACGGCGACAGCGGACAGTGGTGGCTTGTTGCAACTAGATATGATTCATTTCATTTCAGTTTGGAGCTGATCAGTGTGGTTCAAGTTCCCATTGCTGTGAATATACTATTCAATGATGGCAAAGTTAAATTATTCCACGAACCATGCTAAAACAAGCCTTAACATAACTATTTTGTAACGTCGGAGGCACCAGTTCGCTTTTCGATTTGTATTCGGGCCACTGAACTTGTTCAATAACGACATTTTCGTGACAGGGCATCACATAAAGTTGGCAAGGCGAAGTCAATCACTAAAATGGGTGAAATCTGCAATCGCCAGCTGGCTGTACAAGTTCGACAGGGGTTTCGACAGGGACACCTGCCCTTCATGTTCTTACCCCAGGCCAGCAGTTCGTTGACGTCAGTAAGTCAGCACTACCGTAATCCCAGACCGGAGACCTGTCCAATGGTGACATGGCCTCGATCACTGGCCTTGCTGATGGCACCCACGCCTGTCTGCGCCGTAGCCCACACAGTGAGGTGGATGGCGCTGGAGACGTCCTTTCTTCGAAGGCACAGCAGCTAGTCTGTCGTGCTGACATTGGTGCGGCGACTGAAGGATACGGAGGGCGACGTTTCATCACCGGTGCGGCAGCTCTACGATGCTGTCGCGGGCGGTGCGCCGGATCTGTGGCTCCACGTCACGCAGCAGACGCTCGAGGAAGACCCGATGGCGGTGGCGGCTCCGCTGCCTCCTGTGCTGGGCGTGGGAGCGGCGCGGGCGTACCGCCGGCTGCTGCCAGCTGCCGTAGGGGCTCAACATCTGGTCAAACGACCGCACCACCATCAATGGACTGAAGTCCGGAGCCGAAGTGGCAGCCGCAGCCGACGCCGGAGCGGCCGGGTCCTCGGAGCCGTCCACCAGCCTTCGCTCACACAGCTGTCGGGGAGAGGTGACGACACCTTAAAAAACTGGCGGGCTCGGCACCTGTAGCCCAAATGCATGGTGCGGCTTCGTTGCTTTAAAATCACAAAAGCGTGCTTATCTGCTTCGTGAACTCACAACAACAATAAACGCACAGAAACACGACAATTTTCCGAATGCAATGTTGTGATGCGTCTCGACTTGGACTGGACCCAAGTGACTGCATCCTCTCTAGACCTCCCTCATAGAACTGGGAACTGTTCGCTCCAACTCTAGACGTGGCAAGGGAACGTCTAGAGTGTGGATTTCGTAGTAACAAAATCCATTTGCCACGGCATGAAAAAGTGCAGTGTACGGCTCCATGTCGATCGACGTTCATTAGCCACACAGCCGCTGCACCGAACATGCCAGCTGGACGACGTCACCCTCGGGAGGGTGGCCACGTTGCATTAGCCGCCCGGGTGGGGTAGGTAAGGCTACTAGAATGACAGCTTTTCTTTAAAGGCTAATCCGTTGTTTTTATCAATCCAAAAATCATGCACGTAAAATGTACGCCTTGGCTGCGTTTTAAATGTACGAATTGGTGTTATAAAGCGTTCAAAAGCGCTTCGCTTAGATGCATTATAATTTTCACCCGTCCGTTGGCCGTCACCGCGTCAACCGTAAGCCGACGCCGCGCAGCCTGTGGAGACTGCGACGTCCGACATCGGGTTTCGGTTTCTAGGTCGTATAAGATGGTATGCTCCAACCTATCCTTTCTCTGTTTTTTTCACAAATTAGTTTTGAATGAAGCCTGAACGTTTTCAGACGCATATGAGGCTGGCCATCTTAATACCAGTTTTTGGCACCAATTTGACCCGTAGTCATCTTCACTGGGTACTTAATATCCCCGAAGAACTTCTCAGTTTTGGCAAAGCCTCTGACTGATATTGGCTTAGAGAGAGTCCTATTAAGACCAAGTGAGTGCACAAATTTAAATTGTGAAATGGTAATGCTGTCGATTTACTCCATGTTATCGCTTAATGCCTGGTTTATGCCGTTTCTCACTAAAAAAAAACAAGCTGTCTTCCAGCGTCTTCTGGCCTCCGTTCCAGTAAAGGAGGATACAAACAAAAAGTGGTCCATATGGGGCGATACTTTTGCGGGGGAGTTACCCTGTTACCATGAGAGAGCTCTCTGCCATCCCTGTGCCCCCATCTCCCTTACCAAGACGCTGGCTGCGCTCCTGTCCCCCAGCAAAGTAAAATGATACGAGGCAAGAGCAAGGAAACAACGGAGGGGAGGTACCAAATTTTGGCTCATCATAACGAATATGTCGTGGACAGGCTGCGTATCAGAGAAATGTGATGCAGATAGATGCATGTACCATACCTAACTACGACACGAAGAAATAAAGCACGACTCTGCGCAATTCCAAGGAATGCATACACGAGAAAGCATGATGCGAAGAAACGCGCATGCGAATGATTCACGGACAAAAAGTTATTCATGTCTTAAATTTTGCGGATACCGCTGTTAACGCAAAATATATGCATTCAACGTGCCAAAGCTTTTTTACAGGCGACTTTTTCTTAGCTGCGACCAACCGCAACATGAAGGGCTGTCTACGAAATTCTCGCATGAAAAAAACATGATACAGCATTCGCTTCAGTCAGACACCGCCCTCGAGTACAAGTTCCAGTAGTTTAAGTTCAACAAGTTCAAGTTGTGAGAAAATCCGAGATTTTCAGCCTTGAGGCATGTCCACACGTAAAGTCGAGCTTTTCGTGACAGACACACCCTCAGAATATTGGCAGTCTTCGACATACGTTGTTCACAGGCATAATGCCGTAGACCTTTAAATATTGATAGATTTTGTCAAAATAAAACCACCAGACCTAACAGGGCACATGACCCAGCAATCTGTTAACAATGCTATGCAGTGATAACACGTGAACGCTGCAGCTGTAAGCCTTAGCTTACTCAATTACGAAAAGAATAGACTTTCCGGCTCAGACGTGGTCGTGCTCGCTGCTGGACGTTCTCAAAGGTATCTGGCTCTGCTAGTTAAGAATTCGCCCTCTGTGGCGGTAAGTGATACCGACCACGTTCCGCGACGTCTAAGGCGGTTTGCTGGTATCTGGCTGGTAAAGGTATCTGGCTCTGCTAGTTAAGAATTCGCCCTCTGCGTGGCGATAAGTGATACCGACCACGTTCCGCGACGTCTAAGGCGGTTTGCTGGTATATTGGCTTTCCTGTCGGTTTACGGGAACGTTTGACCGTGAACACTGGAAGAAATGCCGTTATTGATAAGGCTGGTTTTTGTAATACTGATGTAGTTTCCAAACAACTGAAAAAATGTGTACTCACAACTAAACCAAGAGTAAAACGGCAGTCAGTGATTGCAGGTGAGCTGAGTAGTTTCTGTATTATTATTTTCCATTTTGAACGCCGCGCGCAGATGGTTTTGAGGCTCATAATGCATATTATTGAGTGGGTCACGCCGATTGCACCAGGGGGCAAAAATGCATCAATCATAGTAAGCCTGGTCTACAACATCGCAGTTGTCAGAAAAAAGCCTTTGAGATACAGCATCATTTAGAGTGAGTGTCGTGCAGTCTTACTTATGCCAAGTGCAAACATGTGCATGGTGTACGCTACCTTTTTACGGTCGTATTCAAACAAATTACCAAAGAACAAATGTGAAACCAATTTGGAAACTGAAGACACTCGCTATCACCCTCAAAGGGTGCCCAAAATAGTAAAATAATGATAATCGAAGGCAGCGTCCGACTGCTCTGTGTGCAGCGGCCACACCCATTCTCAGGCTTACAACGCAGCGAAGACAGCTCCTGGCTCATGCGTGCAGATATAGCGATTCTAGCGCTACGCAAAGCTGTGTTTATGCCAAGGATGTTCATGCATCAACGTGCCGGTTTCTGCAGCAATAAAGGAGGCTATAAACACAGATAAATAACAGCCATTCCGCAGTCACATAATTCCAAGGCGTTTGAGCGCATCATGCATCATGCGCAAGTACGACACTCTCGACCATGACTCAGGTCTATATACAAACCAAGTAGTGTCCTCAATGGGCTCACGTGGCGCACTACCGGTTAATCTCCCGAGGAAAGCTCACACAAAGGAAAGTAGCAGGAGGTGAAAACGGCGCGACAGAGACAAGCAGGAAAGGATGATGAGATGAGTTTAGGAAATTAAATTGAAGCTGAATGTCCGGAGTCTACACTGTGCGTTAGAAAAAAAACGACTGCACAGATGTGTGAAGGTGTCTTCAGTTTAACAAATGTTTTACATCATGGCCTGGTACATGACAAGGATGGCGGTCCGTGGGAACACATCAAGAGTTGGGACACGTGGCGTGCTCACATCTCCTGAGCTGCGCTCGGTGCAGACGCAGACGAAGCCGCCCTCCTCCTGGCGACAGGCGCCGCCGTTCTGGCACGGGTTGCCATCCGAGCAGCGGGTTATACGCATACAGCGCGGGTCCGACGCTGAAACAACGCCAGTGTCGGTCAGCATAACTGCAGTGGGCAGGGCGGCCACTGGTTCTCGCGGGCGCAGCTTCGGGCCATGCAGTCACCGGTTTCAGCACCGCTCAGTCGCCAGGAGCCGGGTGGAATCAGCGCGCAAACCACAGGGTCGCCTGACAAGTCGACAGTCGGCAGCAGCAGATCAGATCAGATAGGTAAGTGTCACCTAGCAGTTGGCCGCAGGCTCCGGCATGCATACAGTTGACATGGCGAATACTAGATCGATGCGCGACGGTCATGAACAGACGTGTCGCAGGCACCAACACTTCAGCATCCCGCAGTCATCAGCAGTAGCTGACTGACAGTGTCCGGGCCAGCCATTAGCGTATGTCTCAACAGAACCGTCACACCGTCACGGCCGCCGACACGCCGAGACGCCACCGTCGGCTGGCCTGGCCACGTGACGTATGACCAGACGCCCCGACTCACCGGAGCGGGGAGCCCAGCCGAGCCGCTCGTGGCAGCGGCACGAGAAGCCGGCCAAGGTGTTCGTCTCATCCCGGTGGCAGCGGAACATGGAGCCGCAGTCGGGCAGGCCGGCCGAGCAGGGGTCTCGCGCCTCTTGGCAGAAGTCGCCTCCCCAGGCCGGCCGGCAGGCGCAGAAGAAGACGGGAGCGCCGCCCTCGTCCTGGTCGGCACATCGACAACTCCTGTCATCTCGTGCCACCGCTCACAGTGTACGATGGTCCAATCATCGCGGCGGGGGCCGGCGTGACAATGCCCCAAGAAAGCCAATGGAACTAACCTAAGCTTGTTTAAATCTAACTGAGTCGGGCCCAGCCGAGACCCGTACAGCTCACAGTGTACGATGGTCCAATCATCGCGGCGGGGGCTGGCGTGACAATGCCCCAAGAAAGCCAATGGAACTAACCTAAGCTTGTTTAAATTTAACTGAGTCGGGCCCAGCCGAGACTCCTCTTTGAGTTAAACATGCAATATATTACGGAATCGCCCTATTCGTGTGGGGTCTTCCTACAGCGGGGAGTTCTCTTTTCACGTTTCATTTACACCGCCAAGTTCTGACCGGAACACATTTACAATAGGGACCGAGTAAGAACAATCTAACGGCATTTGTATTATGACAGCGCTTATTTCTCAACTCTACAGCGGAAAGCAACGCTAGAAGATGAAAGGTTTTGGTTTCACCTTTCCGCTATTTAAAGCTGATAGGATTTTACACGGTTGTCATCAGAATCGTCTCTCTTAATAGGAAAAATAATTTCTGGTTCCCGAAGAAATACCAGGTGCTGACAAGCACTTCCAGCCACCAAGAAACTGGGCTGGCACGAGAAGCTTCGGAGCTTCAAAAGCAGCATAGCGGTCACATGACCAGTGTTTTTTTAACATGTCGTGTAGCACAGTGAACGTTCTCATGCACTGTCAAACTAACCGTCAGCCGACGGAAGTTTTTCACCCTCGCCCTACGAGGAGGACTCAGAGACACTCAAGATCTATACAAAGTGAGTAAGCTAGATGCAGAGGGATGTCATTGAGAAGCTCTTATCAACCTGCATAATATAGGTGCGACTGAACAAAGGTTTATGTGTCCTTGGACAAGATAAATCATGCCAGAAGTTATTTACTTGTTATCATGCCAGAAGCTAGTAACTAATTATTTGATAATACTTCTGTGTTATTTCAAAATGAAATCGTGCTTCAACAACACGGAAGTCAGAACTGGATAGCTCTTAAAAACCTCTATGAAATGGTCGCTAGCGAAAATCGACAAATCCGGCCATTGATATGTCATGGCAGGTCAAAGTGGTAAAGACTATTAGTGTACTGGCCCCTGCAGCCAGGCAAAGCAGTAAACAGGCCTCACCAAAGGCAACAAATGCTTGAAAGTTCTTCCTGCGCTTAATGATGCGTACCAGTACAGTAAAAACCGCACGGCCTTGAAAAGGCCAAATCTGGTGACAAATGTGGAACTTGAACGTAGGCTGACCATGGATGACCTGGCTTTGTGAAAGCCACCACATTGATACTTGCTCGGCGCTTGTGTGGTGCTCTTCGGGATGATAAAGATCAGAACCGCTCTCTGAAACAATGTCTTTGTTGCGCATTCTTTTGCGAGAAATAAGTTTTTCTAACTTTTGAGTATAATGTGAATGGAATTACATCAAGGTAGAGGTCGTAGGTCGTAAAGCATTATGGTTTAAAGCTTTAACTTTTCACATGTGTAATCATGATGTCAACTCAGCTACTTAGTATCTCAGCACCGTTCTGAAAACTGTCCGAAAGTTTGATTCTATCATCCTACATGGCACGACATTGAGGGCCAATCGGCGGTGGTTATGTCTGGAAATTGTGCTCACGAACGCCAGATATGAACGCCTCGACAATTATATTTTTCTTGGCCCTAATCGCCGCATGACTTATGGAATGGCAGGATTGGAATGGTATTATTATGACGTCATGAATGGCAAGGTGACTGGAATATTCACTCTGAAATTCTCTCCCCATTTTCGCGTATGTTTAGCTCAGAAGCTAGAAGGACTTATATCTTAAAAGGGACAGAACTGTTACCAGCACCGAAAGACCTTCAAGATGGCTATTGCAGTTCGAAACCGCATATAAATGTGGAAGACCCCCCTTCAACGAGACAGTATAACCGTAGCACAGGAAAGCTGCCTTTTGGTGAAAACGTCCGACTCGCATGTCTGGTGGATGCAAAGATTTAAAGCTGTCAAAGGCTGTCACGGTCCAGGTCGTCCTTTCACATCAAACGTCTGTCACATTCTATTGACATGCGCCCGGGTGGCCAGTGAATGTGACGCGCTCGGGTGGGGGTCAACTTGATCCCTTGACATCTTAAAAAGTGAGAAAGCTATAACCACCAAATCTTCAGGGTGGGCAGGACTTATTGGAATTTACTTGCGCCAGAAGTTGAAGTCTCTAGATCATGACGTTTGGGTCAACTAAGGTAAAACCAGGTCAAATTCCAAATCGGTCTCCGAAGTGCCCCCAGACCTCACTGCTTTTGACCCAGATACTTCCCCTGAACAAAGGGCCACTGGCGTTATTTCCAGGTCATTAACTTCATTTAACTTTCAGAAGGTCACGGTCACCAAAAACCAAAAATATTAATTTGATCTTAGAATTTAGATAACCGTCAGGGATTTCGCTAGTCGGTATGCTTGTTCGGGGTCATTTTTGCCCCGTAACTTACGCTGATCTTCATAAAGTCTAAATAAGATTTTTGCTGACGTCCCCGTGATCAAGATATTGAAATGAGCGTCCAAAACTATCAATACAGCAGCTTTGGTGTGAAAACGAAGTTT